CAACCGCCCTTTTTGCGTGAGAGAAAAACCCCCCCCCCCCCCCCTTCATTAGTGAATAGAACGCATTTTATCGTCGCTGATGATGTCACAATCGAGACCTCCAACCCACTGATGAGATTCTATATAGATCAGTGCCCCAACCACACAGGTGGTTTTTACACTCTTAAATTCTGATACTGCAGAAGATAAAATTGTTGAAGCTACTTGGTAATAGTTTTAGATTACAGTTTTGTTTTAAACTGTAGAAAAGACTGTAAAGTCTTGCAAAGTCTGTTAAAAGCTGTTAAACTGAAGTCTTGAACACTGTTTAAGTCATTTAAACAACTTTCTGACCAGATGGATCAAAGTAGGCTATGCTCAAATTAATACTGTATACATTTTTATATATTTTTTTTTAGAATGCACCATGTAATCTACACGTAATTAGCCTTGATAAGATTCATCTTGATATTAATGAATCAACTGATTAACAACAAGTATCAACCATCCCCATTGTGCACCCCCCTTTCACAGGTCTGACACCCACGTCTGACCCTGAGCCTGTCCCAGGTCCATCAGGGATAAAAACAAAATCAGGTTCATGTAGAATCGGTCCATCTGCTGGCTCAGGTACATTTGAAACTGCTCCATGTTTAAAAAATATAGCCTATATATTGATCGTCTTAATGCTGCACTTTATATTACCTGAGCCATATACAGTATGTGCAATGTGCAGAGTATGTACTGTACAAAGCAATGTGGATTCTAATTTCAGATTACTTTAATATGAACTGATTTTCATTGCTCATATAACTCTCTTTAAAACCTACCTATATTTTTTACATGGATTTTTTATTCTTTCTATTCAGAAAGTAAAAATCTTAATTAAATGAACGTTATTATATATTTCAGTACATTTGAAATATCATATGCTTGATGATCTGGGAAAGGGATCCTATGGCTTCGTCAAGTTAGCAATTCATAAATCGGATCGCCGAAAGGTACCACAATTCTCTCTTTACTTTTCTTTTTCTTTATTTTTGTGTGTGTGTGTGGGGTGTCCCTCTAAACCATGATGGTTACATGCTGTCCTCATAAACACTATATACCAGTATGCATGTGTGTGTGTGAGAGAGAGAGAGAGAGAGAGAGAGAGAGTACAGATGAGTGAAGATCTGTGTCCACTGTTTTGATTAAGTTGAAAATATTGATGTTTGCTTGTTGTATACAACAATTTCACCTATGCGTTCCATCTTTTAAACTGCAGGTCGCCATCAAATTTGCTCCTAAACCTGAAACTGAAGACAAGGATTATCTTGTAAGTTTGAAAAACATAATGAATGTGTATTTAGAATATTTGCAACACCAAAAAGAACTTTAAAAGATGAATTCACAAAAATGTTGATAATATCTAAATATATTATATTGAAATAATGAGATGCTATCAAGCTAACCTACTGTTTATAACTTTTTTTTTTTAGCCTGGATATCTCTACAGTGGCAATTCAGAAGTGGATCTGATGAATATGATGAAGGAACCTCACAGCCCTCACATTATAGAGTTGCTCGAGTGGTTTGAGGACCAAGATAATGTGATTTTGGTTATGGAGTATCCAGAGCCCTGTGAAACACTGTATTGTTTCATTAAGCATAACAGTGGACATCTAGAACACAGTGCTGTGCGGATGATAATTGTTCAGATTGTCCAGGCTGCAAAGGATTGTATAGACCATGGAGTTTGCCATGGAGACATCCATTCTGGAAACATTCTGGTCAATACAGCATCCTTGAACATCAAGCTGATTGACTTCGGATGTGGACTACGAATCGGTGGCAAGTATCTTGTTGGTCTTTTATTATTTCCTTAGTGTTTTTGCATATTTAATTGACAGACTCCTTAGTAGACAAAGACTGTAAATTAAATGTATGGAATGCAGATTTGCTCCACTGAATGTGATTCACTGTAAGCATATCTCTTGCTTACATTTCCAGAAGAGTACCCAAACCCTGAAATGACGATATCCTTACGAACGGCCCTTAAAATTACGATCCAGTCTGTGGGCCATGTTCTGAGAGAGGTGGTAAATTTAGCCCACACCAGTGTACCTGAAGGTGAGATAAAGGCACTAACACCACAGTGGCACTAACATTGTTTGAGCACATACATGTATGTTTTGTGTTTATATTATTTTTCTGTATGATTAACTATATTTTCATACATGGTATGTTCACCTATGACTAGCTTTCTTCTAAAAATTCATACAGAATTCCAGGAACTTATTAGTTGGTGCGAACATTATGAAAGACAGCTTCGTCCCAGAGATATTTTAATGCACCCATGGCTAAGAAAATACTCAGTCTCAGACACAGAAGAAGGAAAAACAGCACAGGTGAAGTCACGGGGACAGTGACACAAGCAATGGTTTAGAGACAAGCTAGGAGCTGAAACCAATGAGAGAAGCAGTCAGTGAAAGCCAGGTGAAAAGAGCACACAGAACACCAAGACAGACATAACCTGACAGCGTAGGATGAGAATCTAGCTTAGAATCTAGCAGAGAATTTTCTAAAGTATTAATGATTCATTAATTATTTCAAAAATAAATAAGTAGTGTGTGAATTAGTGTCAGTGTAGATGTGACCACTTTTTTGACCAAGTTGAAAGAAATCATGTTTGGTTGTTAAATGATACAAGTTTAACTGTCACCTCTCCATCTTGTGCACTACAGGTCACCATCAAATTTATTTGTAAACCTGGAACTGAAGACATGGATTGTCTGAAAGTTTGAAAAACAAAGTGAATGTGTATTTAGAATATTTTGAGGTACCAAAAACTCATACAATTTCATGAAGTGTACACTAAATGCAGTCCTCAAATGTTCATCAGTGACATGTTATGAGATCAGAAAGTTCAAATATACATATATATATCTTACTTTCGATTAACTATTTTCATGCATGGTATTTTCAACTATCAGTAACCAGCATTCTCATTGAAATTCATTCAGAATTCTAGAAAATTATTAACTGGTGCAAAGACACTGAAGATAGCCAGCATTGTTATCTTAATGCACCCCTGGCTGTGAAGACAGTCAGACTCAGACACAACAGAAGGACATACAAAACAGACAGGTGTTGTGAATCTGACTCGGGCAATGGCTTAGAGACAAGCTTGGAACTGGAGCCAACGGGAACTGGTGAGCCACGCAAGGAGAGCACACAGAATGTCAAGATAGACAGTACCGACTTAGAATCTATCTGAGAAGAGGACATCTGAAGCATATTTAAATAAATAAATAAATAAATAAAGACAAGAGCACAAGCTCAGTCACAGTGGCTGGTAAGGAATTCTCAGGCATTGGAACATACAGGCGAGAGCTTGAAGGCTGAGACAAGTAAGGAAGCAAAAAGAATGATACCAACTGTGGTTAGAACAGTGGTTCTCAACCTTTTGACTCGAAAGCCCCTATTTTAGTATTTCTGCAGTATTCAGCCTATGGCAAAGCTGCTTGTTTTCAAACTTAAGTGTTGATATATTCAATTAATAAATCATGATTCACTTTATAAATCCAGAAGTTTTAGGAACAGTATGGTCTTCAATTTAAACAACAACAACAATCATTTTTAAGTCATTCTGTGACACTAGAAATGAGTTGAACTACATTATATGGAGAAAAGTATTGGGACACCTGACCATACCAGGACTTTAATGGCATCACATTCTAAATACATTTATGACTTAGAAAAGGGAATACACCAAGCAATAAACAGAAGTCAAAATGAAAACATTCAATTACAGACATACACATTTATATACAATAAGTTCAGTAAACAACCGAACATCTTAAGTGAGTAATGTTTTAGATTGGCGCCAGATGGCGCTGGCGTTCTTTCGCCTTGCTGAAGTGTGTTGCCAGGTGCTCTTTTTATAAGCGAATTTGAGCTTTGAGCTTTTTTTAATCAGCTTGTTTATTTTTCTAGCGTGATCTGGCAACATTGAGTTTCTGGCCTTACGAGTCAACATCAGCTTCCTGAGCTCCGTTTCAAACACGCAGCTGGACAAAAATGGTACGTGTTCATTTATCAGAACCGGTTCCCTTATCAGAAAATACTCGTCCGTTTTAACTTATTATTAAAACCATACGTCCGAGTAGATATTTAAGCTGCTTTCCCAAAAATCTGGCATTTTAGAACAGAAGGGTCACATGACAGCAGCGAGCTAGCGCTGCCTGAGTGATTCAGCCCATGTTCACAACACTATCGAGTCAGGATGTAGTCGGTCAATGTCTTTTAAATAGATTAAATCAATGACACTCGAAATATATTCTTTGATATATGAACTAATTATACTTCTCAGAGTTGCGATACTTGGTATAGTGTCTTAATACTAAATGCTTCGTCCAGTAACAGTTTGCTAGGCTACAGTGGCTAACATAAAACTGTTATTCTAGTATACTTTATATTACAAGCATATGTTTACAAAATTAAATGTTTGTATTGGCAGTGCAGCCAAAGCATTTTTTTTTAATACGTTGTATTAATTTCACAGTGTCTTGTTTGTGTTCGCTGTTTAAACCCGAAGAGGAACGTTTTAAAATGTATTTGTACTGCAATAAATATTGGTCCAAATCAGTTTTACATTGAATAGTGCTTTCAAATCGAATCGTTGTCATTGAAATGCTTTTTGAAATTGATACTATGTTCTTATGGGAAGCCTCAGCAGCTCTTACCCCAAGCTTCACACTAACTGCCTGCAAGTGCATCCATTCACCAACCACAATCAGCTAACATTCAATCCAATTTATGTTGAGTTTCCAGTTAATATTATTTATCCACTGTGTTTCAGTTTTCTTTTTGTCTTTCATCTTTTGTATGTTGTTTTTTGTTGTGATCATGCATCCACATCCCCTCCCTCACACCCTTCCTCACCCACTGTTCCCCATCCTGACCTCTGCATCATATTCAGGCTGGTCACAGAGTAAGTGCCTCTCTAGACCTCTCCTGCTTACAGTTTTCTCAATTTTAGATTAGCGCTGCTGTTTCCTCTGGGCTGCTGGATCCTCTCACCCTCAGTCTTGCTTTCCGTTTGCATTGCTCTGGGTTTACAATGTTCTTCATCAAGTGATTTCTGTGATCATCAAGTAGTTAATAATCTAATTATCAGCTTGAAGAATGATTGAGAATTGAACACCATGTTGAGTATATATATAGTCCTGTTTCTAGGCATTCTTCAGGAACTTTTTTTTGTGTGTGTTTTGCATAATGCATATTTTATAAACATTGTGAGGTATATATTAAACACAAGGTAAATGGAGTATCATTGAGACTTGGTCAAGCATACTGGTCTCCTAAGAATATTGGCTTATGTTTGGAATGGGATACTAATATACTACATTTATTCTGAGTCCCATTCAATGATATTAAGGTGTCTTTACAAAGCCTGCTCTGTGCCTCCTCAAAATGCAGTTAAAAAGGTGCAATGCCACATAAAATCTAAATTATGCTTTCTCAGCCTCTAGTATCAATATATACCTTTGTAATGCATTTATGTTATCTCTTAGCAGCATTAAAGAGTCTGTGTAAAGACACCTAAATAGCATTTCAGAAGCTCTTATGTGCCACCTTTGCCGTGTAAATTTGGCATTAGAAATAAAAACAATCAATTTGCGTCAAGTTTTGTGTCCAAATGTCATAACTTCAGGCAGTCAAATAACAAAATATCGCACACTGCATACATAAAATGTGCATACTGCATCTCATATTGCTACATTTTGCAGAAATAATAAGGCTGCGTCTGAAATGGCACGTTCTCTGAGTAGGTGCTTCCTTTGAATTATTATTTTTTTTAACGCTTAATGCAAGCTTTAAAAAAGCATGTTCTATATATTATGAATGTGTGTAGTATGCATTTAATCCAGACATTCTGAATTTGCCATTTTGGCATTGTCATTTGGGTGCTTTTTGTGTTATGAATACTAAGGACACACCACTCTTTTCACATACTGGTTTTTGCCTGCTATATTGTAGGGAAGGATGTGATTTCTGATGCAATCACAGTGTAGGATGCTAGTATGCTATTTCAAACAGCCTTGTTGTCTTCAAATGTTCAGCTGTGTTTTTTTATTGAAAAAAAATCTAAGTGCATTGCATAAGTTCTCTGTTTTCTATAGTACCAAAGATCTGAATCTACTGAACATTTTTAGGCATGTATGTGAACAGTTTGATCTCAGCCTGTTTTAGGTCTAGCAAGTTCAACAGAGCAGTCTTAGAATCAGCTCTCTTGCGCTCAGCTTTGACTTGATTGCTGTCTGAAGAAAATTTGACACATTAATGCTTCCAAATAGATAGGCAAAACATTCTCTCCCAAATGTTGTTATTAAAGATTTCATTCAGACAGCAATTCTTTGCTTATGACTTTACTAGTCCTTCACTCTCAGTGTCCAACAACTAAGGTTTGAACACTAACCAGTTTTATTTCACCATTAGTTGGTCCTTGTATTAGGTGACCTTCACATTCCCCACCGATGCAACACCCTGCCTGCCAAATTCAAGAAGTTGCTAGTGCCTGGCAAAATTCAGCACATCCTCTGCACGGGAAACCTTTGTACAAAGGAGAGCTACGACTACCTAAAAACACTCGCTGGAGACGTGCACATTGTCAGAGGAGACTTCGATGAGGTTGGCTTTTAGTTCCTATTTCTGTTTTTCATAGTTGTTCATGCACTCTTTTAACCATTCACATTGCTTGTTTTAATTGACAGAACTTGAATTATCCTGAGCAGAAGGTGGTGACAGTGGGGCAGTTCAAAATCGGTCTGATCCACGGACACCAGGTGATCCCGTGGGGTGACATGGCGAGCTTGGCACTGCTTCAGAGGCAGCTGGATGTGGATATCCTCATTTCTGGTCACACACACAAATTTGAGGCTTTTGAGAATGAAAATAGATTTTATATTAACCCTGGATCTGCCACAGGGGCCTATAGTGCACTGGAAAGGTATAACATTTACTTTTATATCCTCCACATCATGTTATATGCAGGTAATTACATGATTTGTGATTGTCTCTTTCCAGCAACATCACACCATCGTTTGTTTTGATGGACATTCAAGCTTCTACAGTGGTAACGTATGTCTATCAGCTCATTGGAGACGACGTCAAAGTCGAGAGAATCGAATATAAAAAGTCTTAAAGAGTGCGGATACTGTCAGCTGCCTTCTTTCAGGATGCTAATCTTGTCATTCCCTCTCACCTGAACGTCACAAATGCTGTATCATAATGTTACGCTATATTTTAATGTAATATATAATACTGTTTATATGTCACCAGAATGTCAGCGTTTTGGTTTCAGCAGATGGTTGTTGAGGATGCAATAATGCTGCATTATTTGCATAATGTTAGTGCAAATTAGTCTTCTAAATATGTTATGTGCCCTATTAATTTTTCAAGGCCCATGTTAAGTCATCTTTCATAAAATAAAACCCCACATCACATAAGCAGTGTAATTTTGTTTTTTATTTTATAAGAGAAAACAGAATGCACATTATTAAAATGACTATTTTGAAATGTCTGGAACAGCTTTTTACTTAAAACTGGATTGTGTTGGGTATGTTTTAAGAATTATCTTGTTAGGTATTTTTCACAAATGACAAAATAAAACAGAGATTGATGTGTTAGCTAAGGAATAGAAAGTCCTCATCATCGTCTTCCGATTCATTGAAAGACAGGCCACTCATGTGTCCAGCAATATAAGAGTCCATTTCAGCCCCCTCCCATTCAAAGTCATCTTCCCATGGATGTGATTCTGGAAATTTAAGTCCATTTTGAATAATGTTTAACACAAAACATGAACCTGACTTGTTCATAATATCAGGATTGTAAAGAATCATGTATATCACACTATTTGTAGTCTGTAACGTAACAAACCTACCCCGTGACGAAGCATGTTTTGCAATGGTAGTCCTTCTCTTTCTTGAATGTATTTTGTTTGATTTTGCAGATCCAGAGGATATTCTGTGTAGTAGTTGAATATTAGGATCACAGCTATTTCTTTCAACAGTGTTTTAGCATTTTTACAGGTGGCATCATTTTCTTACCTTTGATGCTTGACAATTTTAGGTAAAGTTGTTTTCTTGACTTTCTCTGAGGTCGAAGATCTTTTTCCACTTTCTTTTGTCTTGCTCGTAGATGTACTTTGAGAATTTGTCTTGGGCTCCTCTTGTGGGGTGCATGTTGACATCTGCAGCTTCACGTTTAGATTCACATTCGCATCTGGCACTGAATATGAAGTATATTAAATTATATATTACATATTTCATTGTAATGAAAGGTCTTGCTAATACAGGTAAATATGCTTATGTTATAAGAGGCGATGGTTCACCTGTCCTGATACAGCGGTGTAATACATTCATATAGTGTTGACATATTAACTGCCGCATGTGCTCTTTACTGTAGGCCTCTGCGATACTATACAGAAAACGCTTCTGTCCGGGTGTCAGGCCTGGGTGCTGAAAATAAAGTTAATATGGATTTTGAGTTACTTGGCATAAGTTTCTTAATGGCTGCTGAACCAGTCTTACCATTGTAATTTTATCAGATATATTTATCAATTCATTGCAAAAAAGTAAAAAGTTTTGAATAATTATGTTTTTTTAATGTTGTTGTAATAAGTCTCTTATGCTCATCATGGCTGCATTTTTTTATACCGTACCAACAGCAATATTATGAAATGTTATTAAAAAAATGTATAACCGTTTTCTATTTTAATATATTTTAAAGTATAATTTATTTCAGTGATGGCAAAGCAACATTTTCGGCAGCCAAAAATTAATCTTTGCCATCCCAGCGATAAACGACATCTTAAAATGTAATAATATTTCACAATTACTTTAATTTTTATAAAATAAATCCATAGGAGACTCTCTACTTATTGCAGCCTTTTGACCGGTCGTGTATATTTTCATGAAATACCTGTAAAAATGGAGCAGCAGTTATGGTCTTAGGGATATGAATAGTTTTAATGCCCCGATCTTGTTCTGGCACTTGTACAGTTTCAGGTCTTTGTATTTTGTGTCCAAATACTGAGTTTGTTTTGCCTGGATAAAGAGAAAAATTAAGTCCTTTAATTGAATATTAGTTACAGTTCACATGACAAATATTAATAAAGTAACAATAATATGCTATACATATGAAAGCCGTTTGTCTTCAGAGGATTTATTTGGAATGCCTGTTTGGTCCCACTCAATTGGGTTAGAGACTCTGGTTACTCTGTCCAAATTATACAGGTGTAATGTTTCTGTAATTTACACAGATTAAGCTTGCTACTGTAGCCAATGGAAAAAACCTGTCAGGTTGCTAGGGAGATAAAATGGTTGTGTTTTGAGTGCAAACTTACTGTAAATGCTATTGCAGATGTATATAACAAAAGAGTGCTGTAGAAATGCAGTGATGTGATTCAAGAACTAACATTTTTAGGACATTAAAACGTGCAAAATATAGCACTTAAGTTTTGTAAATTATTTTAAAGCCAGCCTGTTTGCAAGTATAGGACAATAAAATTATAGGAAGTGGCAAATTAGCTGTCATTAATATAATTTTAGCTTTGCAAATCATCTTATTTAAGTATCGTTTCCATTAAAACTGCTATACATATGAAAGCCGTTTGTCTTCAGAGGATTTATTTGGAATGCCTGTTTGGTCCCACTCAATTGGGTCAGAGACTCTGGTTACTCTGTCCAAATTATACAGGTGTAATGTTTCTGTAATTTACACAGATTAAGCTTGCTACTGTAGCCGAATGGAAAAAACCTGTCAGGTTGCTAGGGAGATAAAATGGTTGTGTTTTGAGTGCAAACTTACTGTAAATGCTATTGCAGATGTATATAACAAAAGAGTGCTGTAGAAATGCAGTGATGTGATTCAAGAACTAACATTTTTAGGACATTAAAACGTGCAAAATATAGCACTTAAGTTTTGTAAATTATTTTAAAGCCAGCCTGTTTGCAAGTATAGGACAATAAAATTATAGGAAGTGGCAAATTAGCTGTCATTAATATAATTTTAGCTTTGCAAATCATCTTATTTAAGTATCGTTTCCATTAAAAATTGTGTGAAGTTCAACCTAATTAACCAACAAAAACTTTGTAAAGAATTAAGAGAATTTAGGTGGTATATTTACATTATATAGGTCCCTACGGTATGTGTGAATATATAGGCCATAACAATTACAGTACAAAGACAGCAATTGCTAATCTGAACAATTAGTAATTATATACGGAACAAACTTACCAGTTTGCACATGATTGAGACCAGATGGCCTGTCAAGATATTATATCATAGGAAATACATAATTAATGTGACAACAACAATAATTTGCATAGCCGTTGTATGATATTTCTGAGCCTTACCTTAAAGGCAAAAGCGACTTTTTGTGGTACAGACGACTTTTATCGCTGTTTTCAAGGAATTTCACGTGCTTTTTCATGCCGGAGTGTTACCTGAACTGAGACTTGTAGAATATTTACAAGTGATATAAGGCGACTGTAATCCCATCCGATACTGCGCGTGCGTGCGCGAGTGAGTTTCCAGTGTTTTGAGCTCAGCGGGCTTCCGTAGATGACGGAAAACAGCATGGCTACTGTAGATATTGTAAGTGGATCATATTGCTGAGGCAAATAACGTTTTTTGTGTGAAAACGGCATACCATCTAGTGCTGTCGGAGCAGGAGAATTAACAATGCCTGGATACGCGCAACTAGTGATGGGTCCTGCCGGAAGTGGAAAGGTAATTCAGTACCAGGAGGACTAACGTTAGTTGGGTTAACAACATACTAAATAGCCTTTATTGACATTTTTTACATTTGACATTAAAGGGATAGTTCACCCAAGAATGAAAATTGTCATAATTTACTCACCCTCATGTGATGTAATGAAAAACCCTTTCCCTACTATGGAAGTCAATGGGGACCAACAACTGTTTGGTTCTTCAAAATATCTTCTTCTGTGTTCAACTTAAGAAAGAAACTTATTCAGGTTTGGAACGACATGAGAGTGAGTAAATAATGACAAAATTGTCATTCTTGGGGGAACTATTCCTTTAAATTAAAAACAACATCCGACAGATAAAACTGCATGTAGGTTTACATTCAAAAGCATTTTTTGCAGAGGACAAACTCTATGGACAGGGTGTCCGCGGGTCCTTAAAATGTCTTAAAATAACATTTTCCTAATATAAGGCCTTAAAATGTCTTAAATTCGGATTCGATGGATCTTAAAGGGGTGCTATTATGCTTTTTCACTTTTCAACTTTAGTTAGTCTGTAATGTTGCTGTCTGAGCATAAAAAAGATCTGCAAAGTTTCAAAGCTCAAAGTCCACTTCAAAAGGAGATATTTGATTTAACAGAAATCACTTTTCAAAAACTACAATGAACGACTTGTTTGGACTACAACGCATATTTTCCGGGATTTGTGATATCACAAAGATCGACGAATTATCATCCTCTTTTGGTAGGCCAAACAAAGTAGTTTCGCTTTCACAACGAATCACACAGAGCCTTCACGACATGGCGGCAGCAACAATACTACAGCGAGAATAAAAGTTTCTTTTTGTGAATATTTGGGCGGCGTTATGCAAATCTTCCCACATCGTGACGTAGACATGTGGGGCCGTGTTAGAACAAGCCGTTTTAGGTAGGTGTGGTTGACTCTTAACTTTTATAAAGAATATCTCTTTGGATTTGAGACGTTTGTCTTTGCAACTTTACATATCTTCTTTATGCACCAAGAGCTTGTAACACTTCAAAGAGAAAGGAAAAATTGATATCGCATCATATGACCCCTTTAATGTACACTTAAACAATAATACATTTTCATTTATTTGCCATTAACATGAACATGAGCCTATTCTTTTAAAGTATAGAAATTCTGTAATAGTTTTTCTTTATATGTGATAAACTATATTTCTTTTTGAGAGAATTTATTTAAATATTAATATTCTGTCATTTACTGACCCTCATGTTGTTCCGAACCTGTAAGACTGTCAAATCGTCCAAAGTCCCAAGTCTTCCAAATTAGAGTTCAACTCACTCGATCCACTCGCAGCGGTTAATAGTCTGCTGGAATGAGAACATTTTATAATGATGTTATTTTAGGTTAATTTAAGCTCCAATTTGTGCACAAATCCAGACTGGTTTTATGAACAGAATCAACTGATTCATTCAAAAAGAGCCTGTGCTTTTGCATTCTTTTTGAAGGATTCAGTCCCTGTTCATTTGAAATACATGAAAAAGCAACAGCACAGTCGTCCAAACTTCTCCTGCATTCCACAGAAGAAAGAAAGTCACAGAGGTTTTGAACGACATGAGAGTGAGTAAATAATTACAAAATTGTCATTCTTGGGGGAACTATTCCTTTAAATTAAAAACAACATCCGACAGATAAAATTGCATGTAGGTTTACATTCAAAAGCATTTTTTGCAGAGGACAGAGGACAAACTCTATGGACAGGGTGTCCGCGGGTCCTTAAAATGTCTTAAAATAACATTTTCCTAATATAAGGCCTTAAAATGTCTTAAATTCGGATTCGATGGATCTTAAAGGGGTGCTATTATGCTTTTTCACTTTTCAACTTTAGTTAATCTGTAATGTTGCTGTCTGAGCATAAAAAAGATCTGCAAAGTTTCAAAGCTCAAAGTCCACTTCAAAAGGAGATATTTTATTTTACAGAAACCACTTTTCAAAAACTACAACGAACGGCTCGTTTGGACTACAACGCACATTTTCCGGGATTTGTGATATCACAAATATCGACGAATGGGGACGAGACCTGACTGAGCTGCACTAGAGAAGGCAACGAGTGTTATCACTATGTCGGAGACGTGAGTAAATAATGACAAAATTGTCATTCTTGGGGGAACTATTCCTTTAAATTAAAAACAACATCCGACAGATAAAACTGCATGTAGGTTTACATTCAAAAGCATTTTTTGCAGAGGACAAACTCTATGGACAGGGTGTCCGCGGGTCCTTAAAAAGTCTTAAAATGTCTTAAATAACATTTTCCTAATATAAGGCCTTAAAATGTCTTAAATTCGGATTCGATGGGTCTTAAAGGGGTGCTATTATGCTTTTTCACTTTTCAACTTTAGTTAGTCTGTAATGTTGCTGTCTGAGCATAAAAAAGATCTGCAAAGTTTCAAAGCTCAAAGTCCACTTCAAAATGAGATATTTGATTTAACAGAAATCACTTTTCAAAAACTACAATGAACGACTTGTTTGGACTACAACGCATATTTTCCGGGATTTGTGATATCACAAAGATCGACGAATTAGGAATGAGAATGTGACGTAACGCCGCGTTGAGTTCTGGGAAACTGCTTTGTTTATCCGCCATATTTAAGAATTTGACTCAAAATATAATGCACACTTATAGAAAAATGGCTTTATGAAGGTAAAATGCCCATAAAAGGTAAAAATCGATTTAAGCTTATCTGACCACCACACAGAATATGAAGAATATCAAAAACTTTAGGAGTCAGCTGTCCACAAAAGTCCTTAAGATACCAGCATGATAACACACTCAATCAGTTGAATGAATGACTCAATACTCACTCATTAAGTGACTTACCGTCACTTACTGGTAGTTCAGTTGAGAAGTTTGTTGAAAGTATGCATTTTTCCGCTCAACATTTCTTATTTGTATATTCATAAATGCATTTAAAACATTAAGCTCATAACATTATTTATTGCAGTTGTAATTATTGTTCTTTGCAGTGTAAATTATTTAATCTGACTGGTAGCAGCCCTATAGTGTATATTGAATTTATTGATAAATTGTAATAATTTGACATGTAAGATGATGCATACATCTAAAAGGGTTAAAAAATAGGCCTTTGTAAAGGTAAATATGCAGATTTAACTATGTAAAAGCTGATAGAATGCTGATGAAAATATTGCTTCAGAATAAATTGTTTACTCCACCAAAAATCTCAGTGATGCAGTTATTTTGCATGAGTATTTTGTATGGAATATTGTCTGCTGACATGAAAAGTTCACTGTATATCGTAGTAATAAATACCATTTATTACAGCATTGATATTTTGTTTTCTTTTTAATTTATGCACATTAAATATTACATATATGTATGTAATAAAATATGCATTTCCATTACAGGTTTAGGTCTTAAATTTCATATAAGGTGGTATTAAAAATGTCTTAAAAAGTCTTAAATTTAACTTGTTCAAGTCTGCAGAAAACCTGATGGACCATGAGCTCAATAAATGTCATTTCTGTAATGTAACAATTTTCACCCTATACAGATATTCGAGAACTGATCCAGGTAGATGACGTTATGGAGGATGACTCTCTGAGATTCGGCCCCAATGGAGGACTGATCTTCTGTATGGAGTACTTCGCCAACACCTTTGACTGGCTGGAGGAGAGTCTTGGTCATGTGGAGGATGACTACATACTGTTTGATTACCCTGGTAAGAGGTGATGTACCAGATATATGGTGCTGTTGTGGATTGGCATGGATACAGAGCATTGTGTCCTCTGGACTGCAGGTCAGATCGAGCTGTATACGCATCTGCCTGTAATGAAGCAGCTTGTGGAGCAACTGCAGCAGTGGGAGTTTCGCGTGTGTGGAGCGATGACAAAAAATTAAATGAAGGAAATGCAGCAAGCATGGGCTGGATTTTTTGCGATTTGGGTAAGAAATTATTGAAATAGTAAAAACCTAAATTTTATGTTTGTTGTCATGTTTTTATCTAGTTTATCTCTGGAGTTATGGCTGCTTTGAGTGCCATGGTGACATTAGAAATCTCACAAGTCAACATAATGACCAAAATGGATCTACTCAGTCCAAAGGCTAAGAAGGAAATAGAGAAGTATGTTCACCGAATGTGATCCATTTATAATTCACTTCAGCCTTGATTTAGATGGCAGACTGTGTTTTTTATTTTATTTGCAGGTATCTGGACCCGGATATGTACTCAATGATGGAGGAGAATTAACTCAGGAAAGAGAAATTCAGGAAATTAACCAAGGCCATATGTGGTTTGGGTAAGTTACAATTACAAAGATTATGCCTCAAGGCACTGATAAATACAGTGGGGGGTTTTTTATTCTAAAAATTGTGATTACAAATAAAAATGTGATTTAAAAAAAGTTTCAGGTTTGCTGTGCTTGTTTGCTGGACTGCGCAATTTTGATTATTTACCAATATGACTACAAACTGATGATAATAATAATTATTATTAATTAAAAACATTGAACAAAGGAAATATATTACTATTTTAATTGTACTAAAGCAATAAAATAAAAAAAAGAGTATTTAATAATAATAATATAATACTCATAATAATTTTATTTTACAGTACAACATAAAACCACAGGGAGCCCTAAAGCTCTCCTTTGTTGGCTACAGGTTTATAAAGTTTCTTGTTACAGATCTGGTGAAATGCTTTATTTAGAAGCACACAGCATATATATTTATTTAAATCACAGCCTTACCTTTTTGATAATTGCACTAAGTACTTTTTGATTTTGATTAGTCGGTCAGCCCTAGCATCTTTCATAATCCCTTTTAATGTCAAGTTTACAATCGTTCTGTAGTAAATTACTAAGACGGCACTGTTTTCTTTAGATTGATGATTACAGTATGGTTCGTTTCCTGCCCTTTGACCGCACTGATGAGGAGGGCATCAACATTGTCCTGCAGCACATTGATTTCTCCATACAATATGGTGAAGACCTGGAGTTTAAAGAGCCCAAGGTCTGTGCATAAGATTACTGCCATATGCTATGAACTGATGTTTGATTCAAATATATATTTCTGTAGCTTGTTTATTATCAAAACAGTTGTTTAGACTAAATTAGTTTTAGATTACAACTAAATTTGTTCCTTTTATTTTTTTCCAGGAAATTGATGGGGAACCCAGTAACACAAATTTCGACGAGTTCTTCCAAGACAGAGACGATTCTTGAGATCACACTTGAAAGACAGCCAGATTTGTTCAATTAAGGGTTTCATTTATTTAATCTATGTTTTGTGTCACTGTCATTCATAATGTCATTAGTTGAAGGATGCAACCATAACCTGTGCAATGCCTCTTGATCTTAACGGGGTTTTATAAAATGTAATCCATTTTTTAGAAGTGCATATTTATTTCTGCAATAAAAATATGGAAATTACAAATGTGGTGTTTTAATTTTGATTAAAAATCCAGCCATTACATCTGTCACAACCCAGTGGTGTAGAATCCATAGGCAACATTGTGAGCAGTTTTTACGGGCAACTATTTTGAGCAATGTTGCTCGGGCACATTTTACCATTGAGAATGGGTAACAATTTTCTATTTATATATATCTGGTTGTGGGCCCTGTGTCTCAACTGGGTGCCTGTTGATGGCAATATTGCTCAAAACATTGCCCCGTGTATCATCAGCCTAAGAAACACATTGATGGAGACGTGGAATAGTAGCTTATCATTATGAGGTCTTCAATAGTGGACCGTTAAGATTATATATTTGGCCCCATTCATCAATATTTGGTTACATCCTAATGTACTTCCTATGTTGTCTTGGTAGGTACATCAAAATGGTGTGTGTGGACATTTTCTTAAATGGCACATGTAACATATTTAGATTACTTAAAAGAAGTGATATTAAAAAGATGTAAAGACATTTTGAGGGGAAAAAACAACTGAGGCAAAGCTGGTATCCTCGGCGCCCCCCAGTGGTTATGGCGGGGTATTGCACTGGAAACTTCCTGTATCGGTGTTGGGTGGGACAGTCACACACAGCGGAAGCGGCGGCTCTCAGCGTCGACATATTCATTTTGCCTGCAAGATTTGGGACATATTGCGCCAAAATGCCGGTAAGAAATCATTAAACGTAGCAATTTAGACGGTGAGCGCAATTGTTTGTGTTATGAGCAGTTTGTTGTGCCACGTTTTAGAACAGCGGCGAACTAGAAATATATTTTAGCGTTATTAGCCATAGAGCTAACCTACTCTGGCCGTTTTTCTACAAATGTAACAGTTTTACAAATACATATTTTATTATGTTTTTGATATTTATGCATTATTGCCAAATATGTATATGTAAGTGTCAGAAATGTGTTGTTAGAAACAGAATTTGTGCATCTGTCCATGATGCAAACAACTGGAGTTCCTCATTTGCATTCAGCTCAGTGATCACTGGTTTTCTTTAAACGTTGGTCATTTTAAAACAAATTTGCTATATTAAAAAAATATTACTTAGTAACTCTTGTATTTTTTGTGATGTCCCACTCTCTTCAGGCTTACCACTCAAGCCTGATGGATGCAGACACCAAACTGGTGGGGAATATGGCATTGCTGCCTCTCAAAACACAGTTTAAGGGTCCTGCTCCTAAAGAAAGTAAGAAAGTTTGCTTGATTTCAGGCAGTCCTGTGAGATCAGAGTTGTATGTGGTTCTTCCTTAAATGGCCATCTGACAAATCGACTCTTCCTTCCTGTTTCTATATTCAGCCAAAGACACAGATATTATCGATGAGGCCATCTACTACTTCAAAGCCAATGTTTTCTTCAAGAACTATGAAATTAAGGTAAGACGGATGACTGTAGCATGCTGTGCTGAGCCTAAAAAATGCCTTGTGTGTCTTAACATGCATTCATAGTTCTGACCCGTCATATGAAATAGGAGCCGATCAAATAAAAATCTGTTAAAGAGAAACAGCTAGGCGATATCTCTCATTTCTAAGTTTTTCCATCTAATATCTAGTATTTTATCTCCGCCTTATTTCAATTACTAAAAATAATTCTTAATCGTTTCAGTTAACAATAACAACACTGCTTGGTGTGTAGTGAGTTCATAATTGTTTTATTTATCCAAACTTATTAAAGTGCATAAATGATTGCTGCAGAAAGAAATGACATTCCTCCATATTTAGTTCCTCAATATTCTACCACTCAACACCACTGAATCAAATCAAAACATGACTGAGACCAACTGGAAATGCACGACTTATTGCTTAAAATAGTTTTCTGTCTTTAGAACAATAGAATTACATTTGCATTAGTACACAACACCCAACAAACCTGACACAGACATGATCCTAAAATATGTGTTGCCAAGAATCGTATGCACCTTTAGAAGTTAGAGGTAACTGCTTTTGACATGACTGACACAAGACATAAACAACAAGACATAAGGACAAACACTAGATACGTAAGACAAATGCTACATTTTAATGAGCAATTACATGATGGGACATTTGGGGAACAAAAGAGTGAACAGGATAGTCATAAATGTGATTTCAAAACTACATGTGAGGGAAACATCACAAACAAATGACTGCTAGAGCTATGGTACAATACATCATATTTACATACACAAAAAAATACAGCTTTTGAGCTTACCATTTATACAAAAAATATTCTCTCGGTCTCATGCAAATATCTAACTTTTTGGTTTGTCCAAAAGAGGATTCCAGCTCAAAAACAGACTAGACATTGAGACGGACTTGACATCACTGAATACAATTTTCCTTTCCGATAGGAGAACAACTTAAGGCAGCAGAGAAAGAGATGGCCCTTTGAGAGACTTCTGCGGTATTTTGTTGTTTTTTAAGGGAACAGGGCTGTCCGACATGTCAGTGAGAAGGGAAATCAGCATCGATTCTGACCATCAGCCTCTACTAGTACCATAAACGCACAAAACACGCCAGAATTGCATAAAAGACTTCGTTCAAAATTGATGGCTCAGTGGCAGATAAAAAAAAGTGAGTCAAAACACAAGTGTCATGCAGTACATTTCATCATAATTAAGATAATAAATAATTCAGACACACTAGAGGGTGGAGGGTAATCGACACTAACGAAATGTGCTAGAACTCACACATTCAGATAAAAAATTCCAGGAAATTGATGGGGAACCCAGTAACACAAATTTCGATGAGTTCTTCCAAGACAGAGACGATTCTTGAGATCACACTTGAAAGACAGCCAAATTTGTTCAATTAAGGGTTTCATTTATTTAATCTATGTTTTGTGTCACTGTCATTCATAATGTCATTAGTTGAAGGACGCAACCATAACCTGTGCAATGCCTCTTGATCTTAACGGGGTTTTATAAAATGTAATCCATTTTTTAGAAGTGAATATTTATTTCTGCAATAAAAATATGGAAATTACAAATGTGGTGTTTTAATTTTGATTAAAAATCCAGCCATTACATCTGTCACAACCCAGTGGTGTAGAATCCATAGGCTGATGATACACGGGGCAACATTGTGAGCAGTTTTTACGGGCAACTATTTTGAGCAATGTTGGCTCAGTGGCAGATAAAAAAAAGTGAGTCAAAACACAAGTGTCATGCAGTACATTTCATCATAATTAAGATAATAAATAATTCAGACACACTAGAGGGTGGAGGGTAATCGACACTAACGAAATGTGCTAGAACTCACACATTCAGATAAAAAATAAAATAAATTATTCTATGGTGGCTTTGCTCTGATACCCCTAAATTGTGCAAACCCAAATAACTGGTGACTAAAATAAAGGTGATCGCCTATTAACGTTTGTAATTGGCATGTCAATGAAGCTTTGCCAACACATGATCCAACACATCAGTTAAACCTTTTAAATTGATACGAGCTTGTCATGGGTTTTAAAATCAATGCTGAAATAAATCCTCAAACTGTCTTTGACCTCAAGATATGGAGATGGGAACTGATATGCACTAAACGAGACAGTGATGGGGCGTCTAGTCGAATGCCATTTCTTGGCTTTTCCTCACACAGCGGGCGACTTTCCTCTTGAACTCACCGTTGGGATCCTCTCGCCACTCTTTCTGCAAGCCAATCACAAATGTGAGAGTTTCAGTCATGAACTTGCATTTAAAACCCATTTTATTTAAATTAAGTGACATTTTGGAGTGGGAAAAAAAAAAATGCATGTGGGACTTGAGTTTTTTTATCCAGGATGTAGATGCTTAAATAGAAACGCTTCTTTTTAAAATCATTCATTATTTGCCATTAATGCTGTAACCATTTTTACAATAATAATGTGTGTTATAGTAATGCATTATCCATATGCCAACATTTTAGAAAGGCTGCATTTCCTACCTAAATAAATAAACTCGTTCCATTTAGTACATTCTGATGAAAGGATAAGGTCACCATGAAATCTAAATAGACCATTTCTTAATTTTATGGAATATTTCAGTGTTTATTAGAAATGACAGGGTTTCTGCGTGTTTTATGTAGGTAAACTTAAGATCTTTTTAAAACCAATTAAAGAAAACTTAAAGAATAAACTGAAGGGAATGCAATACATCAATCTTTTCTCTAAATGTAAATGTCTAGGGAGCACACAATGAGTTGTTAGCTACACTTCAAAGTTTGACAATATAACCACCAACCAATCTCATTACCTTTCAATTAAAAAAAAAAACACTCCCAACCACTAAAATATGGAAATAACTTTTACTGTACCTTCTCATCACATCGCAACAAACTGATGTTCTTTGTGATTTCATGGCGATTTAGAAAACGTGATTCAGTATCATCAAAAATCAGTAAACTTACAGCTGCATCCACATTGGCAGGCGAGTCACCATTGGGGTCAGCTAACATGGAGATCACACTAATCATGATGGTCTCTACTGTGTGGATGGGAAGCCAGCGTTCCTCAGGTTTCTCATAGCCAAATTTGTCCTCTCCTGGCTCATGAAGGATGGAAATGCACACATCCCCGTTCTTTGCGACTGGTTAGAGATGAAGATTGATATCAGTGCCAGGCTCTATGTGGACAACGATTTCACCAACATGCACTCACCATTAGGATGCCAAATCTCCGTAATAAACTTCATCTTGGGAGGCCGAAGTGGGTAATCATGAGGGAAAATGAGATGCGCCTTAAAAAATCCACCTTCGCTGTAAATCAAAAACAGAAAAAGTGAGTAAACAGTTTGGTTAGACAAGATTTGAGAAGACTAGAAGGCTGGTAACAGGATTGGTTACTTACAACAGTGTGTCTTGAGGGCCGATCACGACAACCTCCCACTGATAGATATCATCATCATCAATCAGACCAGCAGAAAAACCTTCCACTGGGTTTTTATTGAGCTCTGTAAGATGTCAAACAAAGAGATATTATTTTAAAATAGAATCTCAAATTTATTTGTGTGTGTGTGTAAACTTGTAAAATAAGGTCAAAGGTTTTGAACAAGTTGGTGAGGTATAAACATGTTGATCACAAAAAATAATATAATTATACATATTTGTGTGTGTGTAAAAATATAATATGTATTGTAATTTAGAATATGTATCTGGCAATCCTGGATATTAACTTACATTTTATGCTACTTAATGAGGGCTTCAAGTTCATCTAAATAGCTATTTTTCATACTATATTGTGATCAGTTAAGGCATTAAAAAAAGATTACATTTTAATAATACAAAATCTAAACGAGTTGCTGTTTTATTTCCCAATTTGTCCACTACATACTAACACGTGTCAACTGATATTATGACCAGTAAACTTAGTTTTTACCACTCATTGTCATTATTTTAAAATATCTAAAATAGTATGTTTAATAAATAGGCTATTTTCTTAAATAAAAGGTATGAGCTTTGAGATCAACATGTTTATACCTCACCAACTTATTAGGCGCTAGCATGCTAGCAAAGCTTCTGACCTTATAACTTTACAAGTGGAAATACGAAGCCCATAAGCGCTTACACAAACACTGACACAGTGGGTTTCGTTACACACTATCTAATTTAGCTAAAAGTGTTGATGGTATGGATACAAATAGTTAATATGCCATCATTTTGTACAACTCACGCTAACAGTTAGCCACCTACCTGCTAGCTGTTTTCGCAGAAGCAGGGCCGATTGCTCAGTCATTTTATTTGAACTAATATTAACAAAATAGATAATGTCTCCAACAAAAATGGGACGAAATAAAGAATTCAGAGAAATGAATGTTGGCAATCAAAGTTGTTCGACGCGCAGCACTTCGGCAATGTGTATTTGATATCTACTTCACATGCGCCGAGAACCGACCGATACATGTGATACTGGCACTGACCTCAAGGCTCTGTGTCACTAGGTAGCTGCCAACTACAGCAGTTTTGGGCATCTTCATTGGGCACGTTCCGAATTATGATGGGCAAAAATTCTGCGCTCGCCCGTGACGCATACAATTGCTGTCTATGTAGCTGTGTCACTAGGTTTTGAAACACAGCCAAAGTAAACAGGACCAAACACTTTATTTATTCTGCTGACAATATAGGTGATATTTTATTATGAACAGAAATAAACCTTAATCATCTATAATCTAATTTAGAAATGATTTTTTCTACATTTTTAATAGATGTCGAATAGCAATTATAAATGTGTAGCAATGTTCTTTTTAACTAAAACTAAATCCTTTCAAATTATTTTCGGTAATTGAAATAAAGCTGAAATAAACTTGAATAAAGTGTAGTACTAAAAGACGTAAAATTAATTATACTAGCATTAGCCTACAGATGTTGCCAAGTAACTGAAATAAGTTGAACTGAAAGTACTCAACTAAAACTGAAATAATGGAAATAGGAAAGCTATAAAGAAACGAAATATAAAACGACTAATAGCTCAAAAAAATACTAAAACTAAAATGAAAAAATGTGTTTAAATAAATAAATAAATAAAAATAAAAGCTCTTTAATAATTGTGATAAACATTATTATAGTATATAAATAATGCTAAGATAACACTGGTGTGCATTGCCTGTGCCTTCTCCATTTTGAAAAAGTGAATTTCAAAGTAAATGTAAAGAGTAAAGACAAGTAATAGGCCTATCTAAGTTAATAAATTAATTGTACCACCTCCAATTCATTTTTAAAACAGTGTTGAGAGTTGTACAGTTAAGTTTGTACATTGTTTATGTTTATATATTTGATTGGTTTTTCATTTCTACACTGTAAGAAAAAAATCCTTGAAAATACGGAAAAGTTATACTGCATACTGCATATTAGGCTACATTAGGTACCAGGACAGTACTGTCCTTTCTGCCAAGACATTTCATTTAACCCTAATACACAATACAATGCATAATTCAAAATACAGGTAGCCTAAACTCCTGTGAAAAATCTATACGGACAAATCAGTATTGGGCCTTGTTTTACGTAGCTTATACACGTAGACTTGTTTTGTGTAGCTTACATGTGTTGACTAATTATAAAGGATTAGTGACAGTGAATGCTATTCACTGTATACTGACAACATGTTTCCTGCAATAACAAATAAAATACACTAGATGGCAGTCACTGCTCACTTGAACGCTCTCCCATAACATCCCTTAGGTAAGTCACTTAGTAGAAGACATGCTGTGGTTTAGTTTTATTTTTAGTTACTAATAAATTACAATTAATACAATTATAATATATGCGTATTGATTTGAAAAAATATCTTAATATGTCGAAACTGTGTCTTCAGATCAGCCTGAATCAGTGAATCTGAGGATTTACAAAGCTTGGCCCATCCTTTATCTTGAGAGCTTTCCAATCCTCCTGACATGCCAGAATCTTACATTTGCTTTTTTACAGAACCATAAAAGGCAAACATTTGGCTCCCTTCCCAGAAACTGATACCAAACATAGACTGAATATGGGAAAGAGTTGTTAGCAACTACACTCCACATCCGTGAAACTCAAACAAGGGGATGGGTTTCTGAATAAACAGCCGTGCTCAGGTGACAAAAGGAGGACTTTGTGTACTCTTCCTGGCGTGTTTCATCTGATGGCACACACGTTGAGGAACGGTATACCTCCCAGATCTGTCTGTCGCATGGTTACCAGAGATTTGTCTTGTGCCTTATCTTTTGTTTACATGTTTAGCATGCAACTGTCAACCCACTGTATTACACAAAGAAGTGATGGTACACTGAACACAGCGCAATCTTACGGAAACATTTGACTCTTCTCTTGAACTGTTGGATGCCTTATTACTATATTCAAACAATCAAACTCATCTTTCTCATCCAACCACCTGTTTAAACCACCAAGGCTAAAATGCAAATAGTTATATTAGTTAACAATTCTGAATTCTAGAACAATTTTAAACCTCCTGAATTATTTTAAGTATCTTGTAGCTAATTGGAAGCCATTACAGACATAAATCCATAAAGTCTTGCAAACAGGTTGGCCCGAACAGCTCGACGCTTCATTGAGATGCTGACCGAGCTGCTCTTTCTCTCTCAAGCCTGCTGCAATTAATGTGTCAGTCATGAGGTGTGTGATAAATGGGCTATTACTAGCTTGGCTGACCTTTTAGTGAATGGAATTGCAATGCAAAAGGGAACATCTTTTGTATTCTTTATAAAGCGTTATAAAGTGAATGTTAATGTAGCAGTTTATGCCTATGCATTTCATAGTTTGAATTTCATACATTCTTTTTAAAGCAGTAGTTCACCCAAAAATGAAAAATGACTCATCTTTAGGCCACCCAAGATGTAGATGAGTTTGTTTCTTCTTTGGAATATATTTGGATTTGCTCACCTCTGCAGTGAATGGGTGCCATCAGAATTATAATCCAAACATCTGATAAAAACATCACAATAATCCACATGCAATCTGTTTAGATGAAGAAACAAAGTCATCTACATATTGGATGGCCTGAGGGTGAGTAAATTTTTTAGCAAATGTTAATTTTTGGGTGAACTATTCTTTTAAGGTTTACATACTGTTTTTTTTAATATAGGGAATGAAAACCTGAAAATGCGCCTGAGCATCCAGGTTTCCACAACCTTTTGAAGTTCCATTATTTTTCTAGTCATTTATGATTTCTGCATAAAGAATTTTCAACCCTTTCAGATTCAAAACATTCTATGCCTTGAAATTATGAGCATAACAAAAAAAAACTACATACATTTTCAGGACTTTCAGGCCTGGAAATCACCATTTTAAAATTCTCAGATATTTCTATAAATCGAATGACCATGGAAAGCAGATAACATAATTTATTTTTACATATAATATTATAATAATTTTGCATGGTCATGATATATATGGTATATAGTTTGAAACTCTACATAGACATAATCGGAGAGCATAACTGGACCAACATCTCAGCCCTCAGCTATTTTCATCTTGAATAAACCAGTACAGAACAAGCTAATTTGAGGTTAAGGCGTCAAGATATACAAGATATTGTCAGTCAAGAAAAATCACCTTCTACTGCAACTGTCAGAGACCTCGACAGATGGGCTGTGAATCTGAGCTGATTGCCTTTTTTGGACATTTCTGTTTCCATGAGCCAAATCAACTTTTATGGAACCACAGAGATGTCAGTGTACAGTAATATTTTGTTTTTGTTTTTGTTTTTTTGCATTCATCCATAAGTGTTCTAAACAACTATTAGAACCTGAATCAATTAGTCAATATTTCTTGCAAATTTATCTTTCAAATAATACTGGACAGAATGACATTTGACTAGGAGATTGACTTATAAACCAGCGACATAGAAAGCACCATGTCATATCTCCATGACAACCCAGTTTTAGCAAAACTAATTTAGCAGTTTCATATCTTTTTATCTGAGCCTGTAGTGTTGCAAAACAGCATGCAGACCCCGGATCCAAGTTAATCTTATGATGTCGTTTCATTCCTCCTTTTCATCAGCGAGACAGTGTGCAGTGAGTGGCCTTATCTTGTATGTTCAAGTTATAAACTTTTCTCCAAATGATGCCTGGATAATGGTGAAAAGCAGTGTGCAACCTAAAGCCCTATGTGAAGAAAATTAAGCTTGCTTTCTACACCAATCTAAAAAGAAATAAAGAAATATTTAAATATTTGGCCGCATAACTACCTGTTTAACCAGTCAGACACATCTAAGATAAATTATCTTTTTAATTAGAAATGGGTTTGGGGGGGGTGCTTGTCAGTTTAAACACTAAGATTTGAAGAATGCAAGATAAACCTGTAAAGCATGAGGTGGTCTGTAGTATAATGTATATTGTAGATATATATACAGTATCTCACAGAAGTGAGTACACCCCTCACATTTTTGTACATATTTTATCCAATCACAGACATATCTGTTGATTTCTAAAACGCAATGGCCAATCAACGTTTTGTCAGAATTCACTCACCGCTGAAAGCGCCGCAGTTTTTAAGTGCAGTTTTGCAAGCTCGTAAATCATCTCATGACTAAGTGCAGACGCGATGTAAATAAGAGATTCATTGTGCAGTTTAGAGAGCGTCATTGATTATAACGGAACTTTGTAAGATCGCGATAAACAAAGATGAGTGATGCTTTTTTGTGACACTTTCTAGGGTATAATCCATTCAGAATTTGTATGAAACATTCGTTTTTCGGACACAGGCTACATCCTGCAAAGTTTCGGGAATGACATCCGCATATTTATGCGGGATTCACTATTGAAATAGCAGTGATTGGCAATGGACGGAACATAAATATGTTGATTTAATTCTGGAACCGGTCCTGGCCAAACCTCCACAGACAGCGCGCGTCCCGAGCGAGATCTAATTCACGGACCAAAAGCGTGTGTACTCTTTATTGAGATCGGGACATATCAACCAGTAATTTCATTTCATTTCCAGTAACGGACGGTAGAAAGTTAATCAATGAATGGTATGCGATTTATGACAGAATATAGTCCCACAACTGATCGTTTATTTTTTCTCTCACGTGTCTCGCCTTTGGTAACAACGATTCAAAAAGGAAACATTTCAAGTGACACGGGAAAAATACACGGAAAACTTCAGTGAACATCAGAAAAGCAGCGTGCACATTAAAAATTAAAGGCCATCAACTGACAAACGGAAAGCATCACCATTCAAGTCAGCAGGAAGAGCCAAAGCTAGTCCACAATTTACTAAACGGTGGCAAGTTCTTCTTGACTTGTGTTGGATTGACTGCTTTGATGCGTTGCAATACGGTAGGGCATTGTTTTGATGCTTAAGTTACATCCGAATTTTTTTTTATTTTATTTATTTCATATATATACATACACACACATACATATTTTTTTTCTTGCCCCCCCTGACTCAAGAGTCAGATGTCGCCATGTATCTATGTATGTATGTATATATACATACATACAGTGGGTACGGAAAGCATCTGACTCTTGAGTCAGGGGGGGCAAGAAAAAAAATATGTATGTGTAGAGTTCAGGTCTGGTGAGTTTGCTGGCCAGTCAAGCACACCAATACCATGGTCATTCAACCAATTTTTGGTGCTTTTGCAGTGTTCGAACTACACCGTGGACTTTGGGGGAGCCCAAAGTGTATGCACTACTTGCTTTATGCAAGCACTATAATTAATACCATAATTCCTCCGTTCAGTTAGACCCAAGACATCGAGAGTCACGCAGACCTATAACAACCCAGCCACAACACATAACTGCGAATAACATGCCTTACCTTAACACAGAACCGACCACAGAGTCCAGCGTTGATATTTTTTCTACGAATCTTTGAATTTGCACCGCAGCACCCCCACACCTTGATGGTCATGACAAGAATAGCATGTATATTTATCTTTATTGAAGTGAATTAGGTTTAAATCGCCGTCATGCATGAATGAATGATATTTTTGCAATTTTACACATAATAATCCACGATGATCACATTACACAAAACTGAAATTGCACGTCAAAATAACACAGTCAATATTTTTTAAGACCCCCCCCAAAATTTCACAAATCACGTTTTCAGGGGAGCCGAGCATATGCATGCATACATACATACATACATGCATGCATATATACATACATACATACATACATGCATGCATATATACATACATACATACATACATGCATGCATATATACATACATACATGCATGCATATATACATACATACATACATGCATGCATATATACATACATACATACATGCATGCATATATACATACATACATACATGCATGCATGCATACATACATACATACATGCATGCATGCATACATACATACATACATGCATGCATGCATACATACACATACATACATGCATGTATATACACATACATACATACATGCATGTATATACATATACACATACAAACATATACATACTTACACACACACACTACAAACAATCGCATGCGTTGCAGGTTTATTGTGTACTTTGGTCAACATATATCAATACAAAATACCCCCACATCTATCCTCTAAATATAGAGCATATCAGGGACATATCTGTGCTACACTACACCCTTCTTCATCTGGAGTGACGTCGGCCAAGAGGGTCAGCTGATCCACACTGACGTGACGAAGAAAAGTCAAAGAAAGGAACGGGATTTCCGGAGTCCGCGCAGCCAATGAGTGCATTCCACATGCGGAGAGCGAGCGCAGTACATGCAGATCAGGAGAGCGGCACAGCGGAGACACGCGATTGGTGCTGATGGTGCTAGAGCTGCGAACACCGGCAGTGTGCTGCGGTTCACGGGAATGAGACGAGGGATAGATCCGAAAGACTAGTTAAGGGCTTCGTTTGGTTACTCGGCACATCATAAGGACACTAGGACTCCAAGCAGGCATCGAAAAAACTTAAAGACCAAAAACAACCAGCGTGTGTCATTTTAGCTTGAATTAGTCCGGGTTTGTAACTTTTCTTCTCATTAAACGCCTGAACTAAAAAGTTAACATCGGCTTTTATCGTGTACCGTTTATCTGAGGTCACTAACGTTATTTTTGGTTCAAGTTTTTCGTGGGTCCGAAGGTCTTGGGAATCAGGACTGAAGGCTTTGAAGAAGCCCGTTTGTGGGGGGGTTGCGAGTCAGTCGTTCATAATCAGCGTGTCCGTCCGTCCACGATGGAGAACGCACATACGAAAACCGTGGAGGAAGTTTACAGCTTTTTCGGCGTGAACGAGAGCACGGGGCTCGGCCTGGAGCAAGTGAAGCGTCAGCGGGAGAAATGGGGACCGAACGGTGAGTGAGCGAACGTGGCTCGGCTAATGCTAACAGAGGAGACTAGTATCGGCAGTGCAAAGGAAAGCCAAGAGGTTTAGATGATTTCGCAATGTGTGTCTAGTGTAAAAGCATTGTTAGGCCCGTGAGAGAGCGGGCGCACGTGCGGCAAGGTTCATTTCATCAGCCGGCATGTGTCTGAAATGAAGGCGCGTGACGTCACTGCTGCTCGCCACCAGCGACTATTCTTATTTTACAGATTTGACCAGAAATTAGTGTTGTATATATAAACAACCTGCTTTGTTACGTATTTAATTTTTTCACACTGAAGTTAAAATCGCAATTGTCTTTTGCTGTGAAGCCTGAATGATGCAGATTATTTTACGGTAATCTAATGTTACGAATATCTCTCCCCCCATGCTGTGAATCTTTGGCTGTCCCACAGAATTGCCTGCGGAAGAGGGTAATCTTTTGTCATGATTTTTTTTACGTCTTTTATGCATTCCACACCTTGGTCTTTATTATCATGTATTCACATGCTTTTGTCTTCAGGAAAATCACTGTGGGAGTTGGTGGTGGAGCAATTTGAGGATCTTTTAGTGAGGATTCTTCTCCTGGCAGCTTGCATATCTTTTGTAAGTACCTCAGTACAGTTAGAATACAGTACTTGTTTAGTTTTCCATATCATCATTTTCTCCAGTTTTATCTGGATTAGGTTAAATGAGGGTCGATTGGATTCAACTTTTGTTATTGTGCAGCGGACTAGTACATTAGTGTGTAACCAGAAGAGAAATTAAACTAAACTTTTCTGGGGAAAAAATGGTTGTTAGTTTATATGGGGGGGAAATAAGCCAAATCATCAAGCTTTGGCTGTCACCAAGCAACGTGAAAACTAAAAAACGATCTGGAACAGCATATGTTAGTGGAATGGAGTTACAGAGAATTCAGGGAGAGCCCTGTGTTCTGTAATTACTCAGCTCCAGTTCCATTCTGGGTTTTCCACTGGTTCTAAAAATGACATTCTAAAACAGACCAAAACTGTTATATAAATGTAATATAGCATATAAATAATGGTGAGGTGCATATCTTAACCAAACAGAACTTTATGAATCACGTTTGGTTCGTTAAGAATTTTAGCTTATTTTTTTATCACTACGTGACATGTTAAAAACTGCGACACAATGGGTAATGATACGTACCATGCTGAAAGGTATCTGAGTGCTTCATAAATGCACTGCGTGATATTTTGGTCATGCTACAAAATGCTGTCATCAGGCTACAAGGTGATGATGTACAGCGGTTCACTCAGTGGTTCATTTATGCTGTCTGGAGTCTTTAACACTTGTCTGTTCTGGATAATGTTTCACGCTGGAATGGGAAGCATGGTGCAAGTCTAAGAGAGCTTAGAGTGCTCTCGCTGAGAACATGGTGTAAAATACTCTGGCCTGGAGGTTAGGTTACTGTGTTAAACCAACTGTCATCGACTTCCTGTGTTTGGACCTGTGGGTGTGCTGAAAAATCACTGTTTGTGGCATCAACATTGAAGATTATTATTATTACAGCATGCTTGTTTACATGACAAATATATGAAAAGACGGGGGAAACGACGTTTCTTAAATCCATTTGCTTTTGTTACTGACTGCTTGTTCCTCATCTTCACATCTGGTGTCCAGTGTTGTGACACTGCACAAGTGTTACTGGCAACAGGAAAGTTGTTCCCTCAGAATCGGTCCTGTGTATTGTTTGAGATCTCTCTTAAACCCCAATGGCACCTAGCCACATACAGGTCTAAACAAGGTCCAAACGTGTTATGCTTGCTCTGACTAACCTATCATAGAGATGCAATAACTTGCTGTTACACTCACCTTTGTTATTCCCACAAGGCAAGGTTGTTATTAAATCAGCACAGTGTATCCCATCAGGACTAAGCACAGTAACTGAAATTTACAACCACAGCTATTTCCACAAGAACCTTTTATAATTGAAGTCAGTTGAATGATTTTGAGTGGCATCTCATTTAATGGACTGCATTTTGGAAAAGCCGTTATGCTTTGTATTCAGAAGTCATAAGTTTTACCAGAAATAGCATTTAAAGGGTTAGTTCACCCAAAAATGAAAATTAGCCCATAAATTACTCACCCTCAAGTCATCCTAGGTCAGGGGTAGGCAAGTTCGGTCCTAGAGAGCCGCAGTCCTGCAGAGTTCCGCTCCAACCCTAATCAGACACACCTGAACAAGCTAATCAATGTCTTCAGGATTACTAAGGCTATAGGCAGGTGAGGTTTTTTTTTTTCAGGGTTAGAGCTGAACTCTGCAGGACTGCGGCTCTCTAGGACTGAACTTGCCTACCCCTGACCTAGGTGGATATGACTTTCTTCTTTCAGACGAATCCAGTCGGAGTTATATAAAAAATTGGCTTTGATCTTTCAAGCTGTTTAATGCCACTCAGCGGGTGTTGCATGCATCAGTCCAAAAGAAGTTACATAAAAAGCACCCATCCATTAAAAAAAAGTGTCTCGCACCACTCCGGGGGGTGAACAAAGGCCTCCTGTAGCGAATCAATGCGTTTTTGTAAGAAAAATATCCATATTCAAAACGTAATAATCACTTTAATGTAGCTTGTGCCAACAGTTGTACACAGAAGCAGTTCTAGGCGGATGACGTTTGAGTTCAGCGTTGCACATGCGCCGGTGAGTCTTGTGAAAACCAATGTTTGTTAACAGTAGCAAAGGCAGCCAAGTTTCCTTACTTTAGCAAAGGAAAACCAGTCTCCTCTTGGCTTATATCGAAATCCTCTGACATTCTTCTTTACAAATCCTCGTCTTGTACTTCTAATTCGTGACCGTTGTTTTGTTTTGATCTCTCCGCTGCGCTTCCGCGTTCGTCACTTCTGAGCGGCGCATGCGCAACGCTGAACTCATTCGTCATCCGCCTGGAACTGCTTCCGTGTATAACAGTGAGCGCAAGCTAGATTAAAGTGATTATTACGTTTTGAATATGGATATTTTTCTTACAAAAATGCATCGATTCGCTACAGGATGCCTTTGTTCACCCCCCGGAGCCGTGTGAGACATTTTTATGGATGGGGTTTATTTAACTTCTTTTGGACTGATGCATGCAACACCCGCTGAGTGGCATTAAACAGCTTGAAAGTCCAAAGACTATTTTTAATATAACTCCGACTGGATTTGTCTGAGAGAAGAAAGTCATATACACCTAGGATGACTTGAGGGTGAGTAATGTATGGGCTAATTTTCATTTTTGGGTGAACTAACCCTTTAACTTATGTATTTTGGTATGAGTTTGATAATGCTGCTGTTAAAAGTATCACATCTGTAGTATGACTTATAGTTGTTCAACAAAGACAAAACATATTGCCACAACTCGGTAAATTGATGAATTCTATTTGAAACCATTACAACAAATGTGTTATTCAACAAAGTATTTTAATTGTGTTTTAAAAATATGTATACACTGTTGAAAATTTTTGGGGTTGGTAAGATTTTTTTTTTAGTTTTTGAAAGAAGTCTTGCTCTGATCAAAAATACAGCAAAGACTGTAATATCAAATATTATTACAATGTAAAATAACTGTTTTCTATTTTAATGTATTTAAAATTTAACTTATTCCTGTAATGACAAAGTTGAATTTTCTGCAGCCTTTACTGCTCTCTTCAGTGTCACATGATGATGCTAAAAATGGTTGTGAGCTTAATATTTTTGTGGACACCGTATTTAGTTGAAATAGAAATATTTTGTAACCTTAGAAATGCCTTTGTCACATCTGATCAATTAAATGCATCCTTACTTGAAAAAGTTAAATTTTTAAAAATAATAAAAACAACCTATCCCAAACTTTTAATAGTAGTACATGTATATTTTATTCATCTGTTATACAGTGTATTATGCAAATGTCTGTATAATGCTTTTTAGGTCCATGCTGTTCGTTGAGCTAAATTGGGGTAGACGATGTTACCAGATGCATGTCTATGATTAGACTAATTGATAAAGAACAGTTTCTCTGTGTGAACTAGCTTAGGGACTCAATGTATCATCGAAATGATGACCAAGAGCTGCAAAGGAAACCTCTCATACAAGGTCAGGGATTTAATCGAACAGAACTCAAGTTTGTCCTTGAGTACCCTCTGAAAGATAAAACGGGACATTATAGAAACAATATTCCAGAGACTGCATAAGGAATACTAAACTTTTTGCCTCACTAGAATATGTGGGTTGGTGTTAAGACTCACTTTTTATGCACTGACTGCACATTGCTTCTGTTTGTGTATTGGTGTTTGCAAAGACGGACACCATTGTTCATACATGAGTATTAGATATTGTCATTACATTCTCGGTTGACCAGTGAGACCTCTTGTGTGGCCCAGGTATACCCTTAAGAGTCTAGACTGATGAAAGCTGTTCTATTTTAATTTGGATCATATTACATAAAGTGCTTCAGCATTTACTGGGCCTTGTCTGGACCGTGTCAGCATGCCTGTAAATTCACATAGCTGGCTCGTTAAGTACTTTGTCTCCGTTATACTGCCTACAAGTGGCATGCATGAAATATAGTCGTGCTTGTGAAGTTACTGACGACAGTCTGTTTTGACACATGGCATAAAGCCACAACTCCTGCCAAGCCTCATGATATAGAGAGACATGCTTGAGGTCCAAAAAAGTGTAAAAACATGATGCACTAAACTGTTTATAAGGTGTCTTCCCTGGAAGACTCCTTGGTGTTTTTCAGTCATTTGGTAATGTGTGGGTATTTGGCGAACTTCCTCAAAGGAATAAAGGAAATATAAATGGGAGTGAAATCCTGATTTAAATGTTTCTTTTTTTTTTTTTTTTTTAATAGGTACTGGCCTGGTTTGAAGAGGGAGAGGAGACCATTACAGCATTTGTGGAACCTTTTGTTATATTACTAATTCTTATAGCCAACGCCATTGTAGGTGTCTGGCAGGTAAGTTTGGACCACATTTTCTTGAGTTTTGCCTTATTTTATACTTTTTCTGAGCAAAATGATTACTAAGTGCTAATACAGTAATAGCTGTAAGGTTACTGGTTTGCACAGGTCAAAGGAGTGTTTTGATTTTGACATATATTTTAATTTTGTGCAGATAGTCTCACTTAAACTGCTTCCAGACTGCTAAAGACAAATTGGACAAGTAATGTCCCATATAATCGCTAAATCCTGGTTTTTGCATATTGACGTGCTCTGCCATATGTTTATGAACAATATTTGATTACTTTGTTGTATGAGAGATGAAGTTTGGGGTCAGTAAGTTTAAATGATCAAAAGTGTTAAATGATAAAAAGTGACAGTAAAGGCATTTATAATGTCACAAAATATTATATTCTAAGATTCAATTTCAAATAAATACAGTTTTTTAAAACTATATTCATCAGAGTACTGAAAAAAAGTTTCCAACTTTTGTCACTGACAATAAGAATGTTTCTTGAGCACCATATATTCAGCTTTGCCATCATAAAAAATAATTTCATTATAAATATTAAAATGGAAAACTGAATATTACTGTATTTTTGATTAAATAAATGCAACTTTGGTACAAGGATAATTGGATAGCATTTGTTGTTATAGTCCATATAATGGAATTTAAAGCTTTACTGTCCTCCAGACCACAGATTTTCCACGGATAGAGCTCACGTGTCTGGGCTTTCAAGTTTGTTTTAGACACTATTATATTGTGAATGTAGATTTTCTTGTACAGTGTAGTTAGCCTTGTTATGAAAATGAAAACATGTGGCAATTTTTTCCCTGCCCTTTTCTAAAGATAGCCCTGCTGTCCCAGTGGAATTCAGCATAGAGCCAAGACCCTATTTTCTCCAGCACCTCTCAGCGGCACTGAAACTCATGTCCCAGATTTCTCGCTATAATTTTATTTTAGTCACCATTCATTACCCAGACTGCCCTGAGTATCCTCAGCCTTGTCCCCTCCTAGTAGTTTTCTACTTTTTCCAAATGGTTTTCTCAAAGGGCACAGCAGCAACACAGTGTTAAATGCCTTGGGCTGGAGTTTTACAGATAATATTAGTGTATATAAATGTAAGGAACTCTTTAAAGAGTCCAAAAAAGAGGCTTTAGAGACTTACAGTATAGTCCATGTCTGGTAGCTTTGAGGTCGTCTATATACGATAGTGTATTCTTATCTTTTAACAGAAACATGTAGTTTAATCATTAATTTAGTGCACTAAGTTCTTTTTTATGAAAATGTACCAATTTTTTTTTCCTCAATACACTACTGCTGAAAAGTTTGGGGTTAGTAATATTTTTTTTTTTAGAATTTTTAATTTTCTTTTTAAAGAAAATAATACTTTTATTCAGCAAGGGTGCATTAAATTAATTTGTGTTTACAAAATATTTTTTCAAATAAGTGTTGTTTTGAACTTTCTGAGTTTTCACAAAAATATTAAGCAGCAAAACTGTTTTCAACATTAATAATAATAAATGTTTCAACACTGATTTATGTTTCTTGGGACACCATTCTGAAGGGTCATGTGACAATGAAGACTGTTGTAATGGCTGCTAAAAAAATTAGCTTTGCTATCACAGGAATAAATTACGTTTTTAAATAACTGCAAAACAGTTATTTTAAATTCATATAATATTTTGCAGTATTATCGTTTTCTGTTCAATGGTAGGTTTTAAACAAAAGGGACAATTTGTCCAATGTTTCCTGCTCTAGCTTTTAGTAGGAAATGTTCACAAGCAAATTAAAACTAGACTCATCATTTTAGCTGTTTCCTGAGTTGTTATTCGTCCAGTTTTGCCTCACAGGTGGCCTACAAGTGTTCCCCTTACAGTTCTTTGGTGCATTGCTTCCCTAATGGCAGGTGTGATGTGAGATGCAAGAGGATTTATTATATATATATATTTTTTAATTAAATTAATACTTTTACTCAACAAGGATGCATTAAATGGTTCAGTAGTGACAGGAAAATGTTAAAAGGTTTATATTTTAAAGGGATAGTTTCACCCAAAAATGAAAATTGTCATTTATTACTCATCCTCATGTCTTTCCAAACCCGTAAGACCTTTGTTCATCTTCGGAACACAAATTAAGATATTTTTTATAAAATCCGAGAGCTCGCTGACCCTCCCATAGACCGCAAGGTTACTACCACGATCAAGGTCCAGAAGCGTAGTATGGACATCATTAAAATAGTCCATATGACATCAGGGGTTCAACCATAATTGTACGCCGTTGTGGAGAGTATCATGACGCATGCGCTTACTTCCGCTTCATGTAAACAACACATGCGCATGGTGCTGCTGCTTACATTAACACGTACATGCGTCGTTTACATGAATCGGAAGCGAGCGCATCCGTCATGATACTCTCTCTACAATGGTGGCACATCGCTACAGGTGGGATGAGGAGAATAATTGTTGAATAAAGTCGTTATTTTTGTTTTCTTTGCACACAAATTATTCTCGTAGTTTCGTAAAATTCACAGGGACTATTTTAACGATGTCCTTGCTACGTTTCTGGACCTTGATCGTGGTAGTAACCTTGCGGTCTATGAGAGGATCGGAGAGCTCTCGGATTATATAAAAAGTATCTTCTTTTGTGTTCCGAAGATGAACAAAGATCTTATGGGTTTGGAACGACATGAGGGTAATTAGTAATAAATGATAGAATTTTTATTTTTGGGTGAACTAACCCTTTAAATAAATGCTGTTGTTTTCTAAGAATTGTGGGGGAAAATCCTACTAACCCCTCACTTTTTGAACGATACAGTACATTGTGTCTGTTTATTTTTGTCAATTATTTTTAGCACTGTAAACAAAATATTCTTCTTTAGTAATTTATTTCCTTGCCACATGGACTTAGAGTACTTATTATATGAATGAAATGCATTTCATGAATTATTTCACTGATTTTAATGTCTTTTGGCAATCGCTTTAATCTAAATCTAAATTTTGGCAGAGCATATTCTGTTGGAAAGACTCCATGCTTGAAAGGAGTGTGTTTTTGAGGCAGTGCGCTCTGCTTCTTCATTGATGTCTGAATCAAAAGTGTTCTTACAGCGTTAGATTGGCCTTCCTTTCAGTTCTGTTCATTTTAACTGTGAAATGAGAATCGCGAGGCCTCATGGGCCAAATCTTGTGACTCTATCTGCCTTTCAACCCTCTCTGCTTTATTTCTCATCATTAACATGATGCACAGGAGTAATTTCTGTATACTTTTTAGCTATCTGAATATTATCACTGATGCTCATCACTGTGGTTAGAATGATTTTAGTGTGATATACCTTACTGCAGGGTGCCTGACTAGAAACTCAGTAATGTCAGTAATTTTTGTAAAAAAGTTGCTTATTAGTCTTCTATTGAAAAGTGATACTGATTGGCCTTTTGTGGCGTGTGTATTTATAGCTTATTGCCTTAAATGTCTTGGTGACCACAACCCTTCCCCCCCTTATTTGTTTGGGGCTGGACCTTGAAACTGTTTTTTCGCCCTTAGGCACGCTAGTTTTGTTTGTTTGACATAAGACTTTGTGTTCCCATCATGCAAGAGAAACCACAGGAAGTCCACTGCCAAATTCTCTGCCAAGCAGGCTACCACTATTAGTAATTGTGTCGCTAGGGATTAATCGTGCTGAAAGCATAAGGTTGCCTTAAATGCTAGGGGTGTGAACCTACACTGGTCTCACAGTTCGATTACGATCAGGGCCGTCCTTGGCTGCGTTGTTGACGCGTTAAAATTCACGTGTTTTTGACCCTTTTGGCCTTCCATAGGTGAGACACGAGTGTGAGTAATTAAAAATTCTACTTGATGTCATCCAGTGATAATTCTGCGCAGCGGAGCTTCAAGCCGAGCGCACCTAATGTATGCTACCGCGACAAATGATGTCAGAAAAGCATCAGTACGTTATAATCTGTTATGGTCTATTACTGAACCTATACCGAATCGTTAAAAACTATTAATTTCGACACCCATATTAAATGCAATGTTTTAAGAATAAGCACTAGAGGTCAGCGCCTCAGTCATCCAAGACTCAATTTCTTATAGTGAGGTGAGCCGATATAGCGCTGGATTGTTTTACCATTTCTAGGATGCCACTGAATTGAGCTTTGCAGATTTGTATTTTGAACATATTCTACTATATGAAACAGTTTGGCTAATTTTGTTTAGGCTATTATTAATAAAATTAGAGTCTTTGTTCTCATCTCCATTTATCACACATTTGGCATATTTGATTCCTTTCAAGATTTGTCTTAATGAGCATAGAAATTATGGAAGAAAGTGTGCAGATTTTGTATAGCCTATTTATGTCTAGAATAATCATTTTTTTTAATTTCTTTTTAAGAATTGTTATTGACCATGGTTTTTTAAACTCTATAATGTGAAAGTGTGAGGAACCCTATCTGTGTGAGAAAATTAATTAATAAATAAAATATATTTTAATTAAAATATTTTCTTTTTCTTTTGTTCATTTAATCTGTGACATGATCCTTCAGAAATCATTCAAATATTCTGATTTGATGCTCAAGAAACGTTTCTTATTATCTATGTTGTAAATAGTTGAGCTGCTTATTTTTTTGTGGAAACCGTGATACATTTTTTCAGGATTCTTTGATTCAAAAGAACAGCAATTATTTGAAATGGACATAAGTTACAAAAGATTTCCGTCACTTTTGCTCATTTTAATGTGTCTTTGCTGAAGAAAAATAATATATTACATTTTTATTATTTATTATATATTTTTTTCTCTGAATGTTTCTGTGGACCCCCTTGCAGCCCCTTTACCCTAGTTTGAAAACCCCTGTTATAAACAAGTTTTTATGCTTTCTTATGCCTACTAGTATGTCCCAGAAATATGAAAAGGTCTAATTTCCATTCATGTTATGCTTGCAGGAGAGAAATGCAGAAAATGCCATTGAGGCCCTCAAGGAGTATGAGCCCGAGATGGGCAAGGTCTATCGCCAGGACAGGAAGACTGTACAGAGGATCAAAGCCAGGGACATCGTACCCGGGGACATTGTGGAAGTTGCCGGTAAGAATTTCAACTAAGTGACTATTTTCAATGTTAAATTCAGCTTTGGTGAAGTCTTAGCAGCAGCGGGAACTAATCAGCAACAGGTGTAAAGCAGCCAGTGCTATCATACATATGGTACGGCTGCTGTGTGAACAGGTTGGTTTCCCAGTGGTTTAGGCTTACAGTGACACTCTCTCTGAACCTTTGTGTGTGATCACACGGTTGCCTCTGGAGAGGCCGTGTTTCATGAGTTTTGCAGTAAAGACTTCCTAGAGAGTACCAATTAGAGCTCTGCTTGTACTTAAAGAAAACACACTGAATTAACAAATTGCTTGTCAAGATAATTTTCAACTAATTGCCACAAATTAATCTATCTGAAATTAATGGATGGCGTCACTTTGTATTGCTTGAGAAATGAGAGCTAATGTTGCGTTTTTGTGTGTTTCCTTTTCTTTTTTTCCTATGTGACTTATGTGGTATTTGAGTTTCACGATTTTCTGTGTTACCAACATATTTCCTATTAAAACAGGAAGTTGAGGAGGTACATATTAGACTTAGATATAAGTCTCTTATTCTCTCTGTATTAAGTCTGTATTAATTTGATGCAAAATACAGTAAAACTAATATTTTTAAATGTAATAACTTAAAATCTGTTTTATATTTTAAAATGCATTTTATTCATGTGATGGTAAAGCTGAAATTTCAGCAGTCTTCAGTGTCTCACAAAATAATTTTAATATGCTGATTTGCTGCTTAAGAAGCAGTTCTTATTAATAATGTTAAACCATGATACATTTCAGGATTCGTTGAATAGAAGGTTTAAAAGAACAGCATTAATTTGATTTATTTGAAATAATTTGTAACTTGGTAAATGTCGACACTTTTGATCAATTTAAAGCATCCTTGCTGAATAAAAGTATTAATTTCTTTAAAAAAAGTCTTACTTAAAAAATCTTAATTTTTAAAGTTATATTTTTTGAAAATACTTAAAAAAATAAAAATAAATAAAAAATTTGACAATTATTTATTTGGAAAAGGAAATCTAATATAAGGCTATTTGCCACTATTTCTAGTCAAATGTAGGAGGGGTTTATGATTAAGGGGGAGGGGACAATCTCAGTTTTAGAGTTTTTTATTTTTATTATTATTAGGCAATAGTTTGTATAATGCAAGATGAGTCATCAATATTTTTTTATCTATTTTCCTGGAAGAGGACGACTGTAAAAGTCATGTACTTTGTAATTTGGTTAACTTTTAGAGAACGTCCACGTGAATTCATCTGAATAGGGATTATCAGGAGTGCCCCTTGCTCTCTATATTGTCACGTACGGCCACGTCTCTTTGCTCACTGGAAAAGATCACTAGGTCCTTCCTTATTGCTTCACTCAGTGTTTCACACATTGGACGGCTGTTAAGACTCTTTCAGCTAGTGTGCAAGTAGCAGTTCACCGTGACTAAGCTAACCAAAACACTTCATCATAAGTGCCCTTAAAGGAACACTCCATCTGATTAAACCGTTAGCATCTCGATCAAAAATGACCAGAGAGTTTCTATATTTTTCCTATTTTAAAACTTGACTCTGAAAACTTGTGCCTCTAACTGTCTAATCAGATTCAATGATCTATGCTAAGCTACAGCTAAAATTGCTACCGCCAGACCTGGAGATCGGCTGAATGGATTCGAAAACAGTAAAACTCAACTGTTTAACTCTAGGGGAGTTGTAAAATTAGCCTATTTTCAAAAATAGTGGAGTGTTCCTTTAAGAGATTTTCATTGTTGTTTCAGGGTCGGCACACTCTGTTTACACTGTGCGCATGTGTAAGCTTCATATTACCGCGTGTGTCTGTACTGGGCTTGATGAGGTGTGTGCTCAAAAGCTTCAGGTGGAGTTAAATAGCTGCTTAGTCATGATGAGGTGAAACGGGTAGTGCTACATGGTACAGCAGAGCCCCCATCAGCAGGATGGGGATTGGAGGAGCGAATGTTCTCGCGGCTCTGACTAATACCCTGCTGTAATGCAACCAGGTGAGTGCACCCATTACATAACCTGTGAGGGGTGCCTAAACGGATGGGTCATGCAAAATTAAACACTCCACAGTACTTCTGTGTGGGTGGCGGAGTTGCTAAGGATACATCTAAGGGATGATATTATGGGATATGAATAAGATACTTTTGCAGAAGCTGGGCTCCAGATGACAAAAAATAAATAAATAAATTAGGCTGCTCAAAAAAACAACTGTAGGAGGCAAATTACTTGGGTTTTGTCACCCAAAGAAAGTTTCCCTTACTGTTGATTCAACCTTACAACGGGACCTCATATTATTAAATATATATATATATATATATATATATATATATATATATATATATATATATATATATATATATATATTTCAAATAAATGCTGTCTTTTCACTTTCTCAAAAAAAAATATCATGGTTTCATATATATATATATATATATATTGGTCAAATAACCAATATAACAAAAAACAATCATGAATGTTTATCTTTATTTTTCCTTTAAGTTAACGGTTTAATCTATTTAAGTATGTATTATAGTAACAGTTCCTGGTTGATTTTGTATTGGACAACTAAGAAATAACCGTTGCAATTTGGAGTAAAAGCTCCGAGTGATTCATTGAGCAATTCTAATTCAAACTGCTAATTCACAAGCAAATTTAAAGGGGTCATATGACGTTGCTAAAAAGAACATTGTTGTGTATTTGGTGTAATGCAGTGTGTTTATGCAGTTTAAGGTAAAAAAAACACACATTATTTTCCACATAATGTACATTATTGTTGCTCCTCTATGCCCCGCCTTTCTGAATTGCATAAATTTTTACAAAGCTCATTGTTCTGAAAAGCGAGGTGTACGCTGATTGGCCAGTCCAGTGTGTTGTGATTGGCTGAATACCTCAAGCGTGTGACAGAAATGTTACGCCCCTTAACACACTGTGATGCCGTCTCCCGGCACGGTGAGACAAAAACATTAAAACCCATTACAAATGAGGCATTTGTTGCATCCAGTGGGGACATAATTACTGATTATAATGACTTGTACTGTGTTTTTACGAGTTGCGTTGCATATCGCGCAGCGTAAACATAAAACCATGTCTGCATTTGTGATCGGAGAAACGACAAACAACAAGTGCTACTCGCGTTTGAATCATCAGTGGCAAATTCTTTAAATATAAAAAATGTACTTGCAGGCTGAGAGTCAGAAGCCCATACTGTCCTTGCAAAGTTGGAACTACCCCACTTTATAGAACAGCCTTTGAGCACAGACCCATTGTATGCTACTCTGCAGGTTCAGGAAACAGTCTTCCATAAAATGCGTCACACAGCGTCACACACGGCAGGCTTGAGTGACCGGAGGCCAGCGGCCTTGAGAATGGCGCGGCCGGAGGATTCGACGAAGGGCTTGCGGCAACCACGTGTGACGACCCTGGGCTGGACTCCGCTTTGTCCACGGTGAAAGCCGATTCAGCGATCCACAATGCGAAGTTGATGTATTTCCTCAATAGGGATGTAACGATTCACTCCACTCACAATTTTGATTTCACGATTCGATTCACAATTTTTTTTTTTTTACAAAATGAGATTTAAAGGGGTCATATGATGCTTTTTTTAAAGATCATTATTTTGTGTATTTGATGTAACAGAATATGTTGACATGCTTTAATGTTCAAAAAACATGTTTTTCAAATACTGTACATTATTGTAGGTCCTCTATGCCCCGCCTCTCTCAAACGCTTCGTTTTCTACAAAGTCCCTCCTTCCGACAAGCGCAGTGCTCTGATTGGCCAGCTGACCCAGTGCATTGTGATTGGGCAAACACCGCAAGCACTCGTCGGAAATGTAACACCCCTTACCATAATCGCGAGCTTCAGCTTTCAACATAAATGTAAAGACAGAACCCGAAAGGGGAACAGAGTCGCGTGACAGACACAGTGATGAAGCTGGTATGTGTTTGCAGTACACAAGCCACGGTTAGGACAGCTGATTCCACTGTGATCTCTCTCGCTCTCTCTCTGTCACACGCGCACGCACGCACGCACGCATGCGCGCACACACACACACACACACACGATGCGCAAAACTCCGCCTCTCTCGCACTCTCTCGCGCTCTCTCTCTCTCTCGTGCGCTCTCTCGCACTCTCTCTCGCTCTCTCTCTCTCGCTCGCGTACACACACACACACATGATGCGCAAAACTCCGCATTTGAACAGTCAATAGCAAATACTTAAACTAATAACAAAACAGTAGCTGATTCAGAAGCGCCAGATTGTCATAGCAAAGTCAGAATTACCTCCTCTCCTAGGTTCACGAAAAGGTCGTCCATAAAATGCATTGCTGTTCTGTTGTAAGTAATCTTAAAGATTCCTAAATGCATCTACTTTCGGAAGGCCAAATAAAGTGCTTTTGCTTTCGCCTAGAAACACAGCGTCTCCCTGAC